ATTTTACGTTTATGGTATTGAATTAATTCATATGATGTTTCAGATTAATGTATGTGTTGTTAGAAGTGGATTTTGCTACATGAATATCAAGATTTATACATGACACTTTGTCATTTGTTAGTTTAAAACACAATCAATTTTCCATCCAATATTATATAATCCATTAGGTATATTTTTATGTACAAGTATCAAAATCCATTAGAAATTATGACGCTATTAGTTCCATCAAGATTAGTGAGATGTAAGAATAATATATGGTGAGAAGAATAAAAACCACAAAAAAGTACAAGTATGAAATACAAGAATTTAACATTGTTGCAACTGTGCTATGAACGAAAGACGAAGATTACAAAAACAAACCCTTTGTATTTTATATGCCTACATAGAGGCTTCACTCAATTTTGGCGTAGCAATTTTCTAATTTCATATCCGTAAAATGATATTTCCAAAAAGTAATGGTATTTAGTTCCACTGAAATTACAATATCAATCTATGAGATGCTAACATAAAATTAAATGATAAGTGGAATTAAATGATCCACATAGATCGGGTTGTAATCATAGCGGGACTAAATAACATAGGTTTTTCAATTGTTTAGCCTTACATATTTTACCATTGAAACCTCAATTTGGCTCCTATATAATTTGAATTTTCTCTACAGAAGAATATTTGCTCTTTCACCACATTAACAAAAATTTTGAGAATCTACACATTTTAAGCTCATTCCTTTGTTCGCCGTAACTTCCCTTGTGACAAAATTGAACTGATTATTCAATTACTTTTTCTCAATCCACAATTCCACATGTTCAGTTTCCTATATTATTATAGAATTTTCATAGAGTAACCATTATTGACTAGGACTTTGAAAACATTAGACAAAGAAAAAAAGAGAGAGAGAGAGAGAGAGAGAGAGAGAGAGAGAGACGCCAGTCTTTACTAATAGTCAAGAATGATCACATGCGCAATTCAATAAAAATACTATAGTAGCCCGCCTTGCGCAATTCATTTCTACTATAAATTGAGGTAGCTCTTCAGTATTTCATCACCAGCATCAACTTCAGCTAGAGTTTATAATATCAACATAAACTTCACCTAAAAAAATTTCTTCTTCTTCTTCAATAATATACCA